AAAAAAAAAAAAAAAAAAAAAAAAAAAAAAAAAAACCTTGAAATTTCAATTTGTTGGTCCCATGCTCCAGCTGATAGTTTTGCCTTGACAATTGCAAGTGTTCCGGCCTCTTTTTTGTCATGATTGTTCATATTGTGTCTTGACAATTGCTAGTGGTTTCGATGGGTTTGTGATGGAGACGAGATCGCCTTGGAAGTCATAAAAAAATACAGGCGACGTTGAAATCGTGCATGATCTATGCATGGGACTTATGTTGTGACATTTGTAAGTATTATTATTATTATTTTTAACTAGCTTATGAAGAAATCAAAAGACATTCAAAATTGTTATTCTAGAAAGACTAAAAGTCTATCCTCGCGGGTGATTATTACGAGTCACAAGAAGACTATAATTATTATATATATAGTTGTAAATTCTTATGATCAGCAATAAAGATTGAAACAAAAATATAAATTATAGTGAGTTTATACTCTCGAGTCTCACCTTCGCACTTATTTACTATGATGATAGATAATGCAAAATTTTTGTGTTGCAACTTGCAACCCTAAAATGTAAATAAACAATAAACAAATATTTTTTTTTTCTTCAAACTTGAACATTCATGTAATGTGTTGATGTTGAGTAACGCAAGAATCAATTTCCAGGGGATAAATCAAGAAGAACAAAATTCCAGTGTTCAAGCTGCACTATAAATATCTTTTTGTTCAACTAGTCTTAAGTAGTTCTAAGAGAAAAACAGAAAAAAAAAAAAAAAAAAAAAAAAAAAAAAAAAAAAAGGATGAAAGATAATCCCAAGTTTTCTGTCTTTCATCGAATTCGACGAGTGTCTGCACTGCATAAAGTAGCCATCCATAAAATATCTGACCACAAGAACACAGCCACAAGAGAAAGCAAGTTCCCTTGCCAACCTGGGCAGCCAGGTTCCATCATCATGCACTATTTTTACTCATAACTGCAAATTACATAAACTTAAAATCATGTTCATACTAATAAAAAACTTCAACCCATCTTTTGGCTCCCGCTACCATACTGTACAATCAAGCGAACCCTTTGTACTTCATTGCTTTCTACGGGGACATGACATCGTCAAATGACGTCGTCATTCGTACATCTGTTCCTTCGCTTGTTGCTCTCCCTTTATGAGCTCCTACCGACTCGCCTATCAATCAAACTTTATCACATTTAGATCATATGTTTAAAAGTCGTAGATTTACCAAAATTCAGTATCTTTGAATCGTGTGCTTTACCAAATATGGAATTGATGGATGGGCGGCTTGGAGATGTGCTCCTCGTATGATCTGCAGCAAGTAAAAACTTAAAATGTGAGAATTTTGCTTTGCTTCACATTATTCATAGGAAAAAATAAAGAATTGTTTTTTATTTGTTCATAAAACATAATGCAAATCCTTGCCTGACGAGTAACGTAGTGCCTTGAGAGCATCAAAGTTCTTGTACGTATAGCCCACAAAGCTCAAGTCCTTTGGATTAAGATGTATCTGTTTGATTAAAGATGAGAGTCAACTGAATTACCTTATAGTTATTCATCATCACTCATCAGGCAACCGCACATTAAGTAAATCATTTACGGGCAAGGAAGATCATAAACTGGTCGGCTATCTTGCAGGAAAACCAGTAAATAGAAAATGCATGTGGTGCAAGAAAAACCTTTCGCGAAGGGCCTGATCCAGATGTTGCTGGTATTGGAGCATTCATCTGTTTTTACGAAATTTTCATCAAATTTCATATGAGATGGCACTTAAAATAAGAAGAAGAAAATAAATGAGGGTGTACTTCATCAAATTTCATAAAGTTCTGAGTATCCAGCTCTCCATTAACTTCTGGTTTAAAGGCAGCTTCCATTTCGTACAGTTTATCCCATTCTATACCCGCAAACCAAGGGTGAGCCTGTAATCCATTTAGATTCACTATAAGAGAGGGAATTAAGGAAAGAGAGAGGGAATTAAGGAAAGAGAGGGGGAAGAGAGAGATATTGAAATCAAAAGAGACCTTTATCTGGAAAGCTCCTCCAGTACCAAGCCTATGTTCCACATCACAAAGCAAACGGCAGATGAGATCTTTTGCCTCGGGACTCAGTTTGGCGTCTTCAGGAAATTTCAGGTGATTTCTCCAATGAACTATCTGGCAATCATTTTGTTAAACCTAATTAGGTAAAATTTGCTCAAGCGGTAATTATTTTGCATATTTTGCAAATAGAGGAAATTACTTTGAGGGGAAAGCCACCATTGAAGACTAACCATTAATTGTTTCATATATCTGATTAGTTACTGCAGGTATATATGAAGTTGAGTGAAAGAGTAAAAACTGTTGAGTGCATTACGTATGAAGAATGTACCTTCCTGCAAGTGGTCATGGGATCATCAGAATAGAAAGGAGGGTAGCCGACAAGCATTTCATACATAATTGCTCCCAGAGACCACCTGCAATCATACGAGTAGTTACATGTGACGAAATAAAATCCAATAGGCCAAAATCTTATTCTTGTTGAAATTGAGTAGTCACATGTGACAATAAAATCAAATAAGGCCAAAATCTTATTCTTGTTGAAATTTATAGTTCATTGAGTTGGTAAAGAAAAATGCATGCCGTCTGAATCCTCAAGTGATTGCACAAATATCTCTAAACTGAAGCATTTATATATTAAACGAAGATAGAAGGGTAAGAAGAACGATTGCAACACGTGACTTCGTACATTAAAGTTACAAACCATGAAATTAACAGTACGTGCACATGCACAGTGCATATATACTACTATCAGCCAAATCGAGTAAATGGAAAATGTAACTGGTGTACTAAGATGAAAGGGGAAGAATTTGAACTGACCAGTCGCACTCCACCCCATATCCCTTCTTCAACAAAACTTCTGGAGCAATATAGTCTGGTGTACCTACAGTGGAAAAAGCCTGGCGAAAAGAAAAGTGTAGATGATTAAATCATGTGAATTGGAAACTAAAACAAAAAAATTTACCAGTTCGGATACAAATATCTGACCAACTTTCTCCTATTCATCTGCCAGTGCTGAAGTTGTTCGCGAGCGCTTCTCCAGTTACTACCATTCGCAGCATCGGGAAAGCGGCCATCAATATCCATTGGTTCTCTTATATTTTCATCATCCATGGCCTCATTTTCATTTACTGTAGATAATGTTCTACAATCAAGTGGCTTGCAAAGACCAAAGTCAGAGAGCTTCATGTGTCCATCTTTGTCAAGAAGAAGGTTATCTGGTTTGATATCCCTTGGTGAACATATTAAAAAAAAAAAAAACAAAGTCAACATATTTTCAACACTTCAAAAGTTTTAGTTCTTAAAAGAAATGGTCATAGATGCCTCGGAGGACTTATACAAACCTGTGAATATAATTATGCTCGTGAATGGACTCGATGGCCAACACACTTTGAGCAATGTAAAACTTAGCCATACTTTCAGAAAGTGTGTCTTCTCTCATCAGTAAAGTCATCATGTCGCCGCCAGGGAGATATTCCATGATGAGATATAAATACTCAGCATCTTGAAAAGAGTAATATAATTTAACTATGAAATGGCTGGCCACCTCTGCCAATAGGTTCCTCTCTGCTCTCACATGTTCCACCTGTACAGCAAAATAGTTTGAGATGAACGAGCCTAATAATGTAAAACCACTTGCAAAAATTTACCATATAAATAATTACAGCTAAGCAGACGAGCGAAATCACACACACACACACCAACACACGTACAAATATAATTTTTTAACTTAATACCAAATGCAGAAACCTTGAAAGCATTAGTACTTCTCAATAATCATAGAGAAGAATCTAGAATTCCACAGACGACTATGTCACTATAGAATATAAATATTCTGCATGTTTGATTATTATATGAACTACCTGTCCTCTTGAGAGCATTTCAGATTTCTTCAGCTTCTTCATGGCATAAATATTTCCGGTTTTTTTCTCTCGGCATAACCGGACCTACATCAAATTAAAGCAGAAGCTCAAGAAGCAACCAAAACACGAGGACATCACTTGTTTACAATGATTATTAAGTGGCATAAAATATTTTATCTGACTTACGTTATCTGACTGGAAGGGGATTGGGAATTCATGCATGTCGTTCATATAATAAAACAGAAAGCAATTCGGACAAGATTTGAAATGCAATAAAACCATAAAAACTGAGATAGGAGAAGAGAGATATGCCAACAATAACACCAACCTCACCGAAGGCTCCACGACCTATAATGGTTAGCAGGTCAAAATCATCCGCGCATATCTTATTCCTTTTCAATCGCATAAACTCTGTTTCCTTTCTTTCTAAATCTTTAAGCAAATTTATTTGTTCCTCTTTGGGCACATCTGAAGACGCTAACTTCCTTTCTAATACCCATCGCCTGGAGTGAAAAGCATAAGTATATAAGCTTTAGAATGCGCCTAAAATGTGTGAATCCAAACAAATAGGAAAGGACTTAGACTGCATCGATAAAAGGTGTAATAATTGAACATAACCAGGCATAAGTTTTGGCATTCAAAACCACTTTAGATGACATCTGTCCTCTCCACTCTGCAAGGTGATGATGCAATTAGAGGACTAAGTGAGTTTGTTAGAGCCCATAAACTTGTTCACATGTTAGCCACAACTTTCATATCGTTTCAATGACAATAAGTGATTAAGTTATTTGTTTTTCACACGTCAAACAATTTTCAAAGTCTTCATTCCAATAATATACAAATGGCGATTGACATATCCAAGAATTTACTATAATAAGAGCACCCTGTATGAGTGGGTCAACCGTCTTCAGATTCGCAATTCATGCAACGACAAAAATCTCGACTACCAACTAGGTTATCTTGAACTAACTACCTGGCCTTAATAGCATATAGCATGCAATATATTGCCTTCAATGCATCAAGTTCAAACCTACTCCATACATCCATGGAAAACACAACATGCACACGCAGAATTAAAAGACAAATTAACTTCATTTATATATTTATTTTTCACGTCAAACAATTTTCAAGTCGTCATTACAAGATATAATAAATGATCATTGACATACCCAATAAAGTCCTATAATAAGAACACCCTGTGTGAGTAGGTAAATCGTCATCAGATTCGCAATTCATGCTTCATATAATAAAAAAGGTAAGAACCACCGGTCATGTCACGACAAAAATCTCGACTACCAACTAGGGAATCTTGAGCTAACTTTTGGCCTTAATAACATGCATTTTATTGCCTTTAATGCATCAAGAAGTTCAGCCCTACTCTATGCATCCGAGTAAAACACAACGCACAAGGATACAGCTCCAGTGGCTTGTAAACACAGAATTCTAACTTCATTTACTCGTGCGGAGACGAGTATCATAAGCTTGACACAAAAAAAAAAAAAATTCCAAGCATTTACCTCATTCACAACTCTTGCCCAGAATTGATTCAGCATCTTAATCCCCAATAATTTGGCTCTACATTTAATCCAGTTCACTTAACAGTCACCAATCCCATCTCATTGCATCAATCAATCACTACAAATACAATCCCTTTGATCCAAAAACTTCCGCAACAGACAAAAACCAAACAAGGGCCTCAATTGAATTTTAAAAACTTAAAATGTAAAGGGTAAATTTACCCCAAAAAATGAGGAAACATAATCTTTTTTTCAAAAAAAAAAACAGATAAAGCAGTCGATCCCGCAAAATACGTACTAATCTAAGACTACACCACATTCCTAAGAAAAAAAAAAAAA